CAGCATTTTCTGACACAAAGGTGCAAATAAAATGGAGCCCTAAGAATTCATTCTCCTTGCAAACTAACCCCTAAACCCAAAGAAGGATCTAAGAGACTTAAGGAAAAAAATTAACATAGACTTTTTTTGTTTGTTTTTTATTCAACCAGGAACTATTTTCATGTAAGCAGAGTCCCACAAAATCTCACACTGATCGCAAAAACCAGGCACCTAAAAGGTGCCTGAAATCCACTTTAAGATTTAGACTCATGCTAAGACCATATTTCTTCCTCAAAGAAACACTATAGTTTATGAATTTTATTTTTAAGAGAATTTTTTTTTTTTTTAAATCATCCATTTGGAACAGAGATTGTGGCAACGTTTAACTGTGGCACACTTTTTTCGGTTTGGTTTGGTTTGGTTATGTTTCTTTGTGGTATCCCAGCATATTGCTCCTTTGGACAACCTTAGACATCTAGTTTCTTTAAAGCCATTCGATCCAGTGGCATAATTTCCTGAAAACCACGATTGCACGCCTTTCCATTATAACTACACATCACAAGTTTGTGGATCAGGTTCCTTAAGAAACACCATATTTTATTGACTTTTCTGGCTCACATTTATTTTTTATTATCCATGAGAAACACTATTCTGACAAAATACAGTAATCAAATTATTCTGGAAATGTATTTTCTCTTAAGCTTTCAAAACGATGGGATGCATGTAAAAAAAGTTAACATTCAAAAAAAAATAAAATACAGTAACTAGGCAGAAACAACACATGCTTTTATTTCCATTGCATATAAAATCTCATATGAAGGTATTGATGTACAGTACTAACCCATAGGCTGTAAGAGAGGCTAAGAAACCAGTGAAAGAATAGCCATGTGCAATGTTCACACAAGTTGCCACTCTCAAGACATCCCCAAAGAAAATACCGAATTAAAACAGTAGCAAGAAATTGTTCAGGATTTCTGTTGTTTTAGTGTCCCTTTTAGACCATATAAAACAAAAGCATTCGAATTCCTTTGGGCCAGGGCTGCTAAAATCTACAGTTTGTGTCAAAAAGGAGATTCCATTTTTTTTTTGTTGGAAAAGAATCTCTCCTTTCACTAATAAGTCGCAAGTTACTGGGGCTATGCATCACTGAAAAGCAGAAGAGGTATTTACCTCACTCTGGCAAATTCAGTGATACCAGCTCTGAGTTATTTGGAGCAATGTGACAAGTCAAACAGCAAGAGCTGCTCAGTCCAACCTGCAAACCTAATAGAAGTGTTATTAAAACATCTAACAGTTTACTGCTCTTCTGTAGAGCTAGTGCACTATGCTACACACACCTGCACAAAGCTTTAGCTACACCTATATAAAATAAACTTTGGCTACTTGTAACACTAATATTGGAAAGCATTTCCAAGACTGAAGTTGTATATCCTACTATGGATTCTACTTATACAGTGATCATTTGTGCTACTAAAGAAGAGACATTACAGACAATTGTAAAAGTGTATGAGTTACACCCTCTTATTTCTGATCATTCCATTTCACAATATGCATTAAAATCAAATGTTTATTAGAGATGCTTTCCAAAGCTGTTTCAGTGCATTTCAGCACTGAAATGCAGCATCAATTATTTATCTTTTTTAGGAACAAAAAATGGCTGCAATAATCCCCAATTACAGGCTGTAAAAAGATATTCAGAGATAATACAATTACATTACCAGAAGTCCGCAAAAGCTTGAACTTCCAGCAGGGTCAAGAATGAAAATTTATTGTAGTATTACACGTATTAGCTCATAAGAGTATCCCCCATCGGTTAGCAACTAAAAATATGGTATAAATGCCCAGCCCCAGCCCCAAGGCTACCTTACTTTTCAAATGCAGCTAAACAAGAAAATATTGTTTAAAGTTAAGGCACAGCCCTGGGACCAAAGACCTGCAGCTTTTTAAATCGATATATCTTTATGTATTTTATACTTTTCTTGAATCTTCCATAAACGAGCTCTGTGGTGACACTGAATATATTACAGGAGAAGAAATGTACAAGGAATATGTATACACAATAGTCATTCTCTCACCAAGAGTTTCCAGATACAGCAACACCACCCTGACAAGGGTGATGTTATAATAAGAACGGATAATTTACAATAAACATTACAGTATGTACATTACAATAAATACATGGTTGTAAACAGAGACAAACAAGACTGTATTACAGGTAAGGTCATTTGGTGAGAAAAATGCATGGCACAAAAAATAAATAATGCATTTGAAAAGAGCTGTCAAAGCTTTCTATAAAATCCACTTCATTCAAGTTTTTAAACTTCTGAATGCTATTTGTTCTATCTATATTCTTTCACTATCTTTTTTTTAGTGACACAAAACAATTTAAGAATTTAAATACAGCATTACGGAGTACAGCAACTTGCAAGCTAAAGTGTACTTTTATAAACAAGATGATTTTTCTGTTTTCCTCCCACTCAATATGCACTCACTGCATTTTTTTATGGCAAAAATATTCACAACACATAAAGCCACTTGTAAATTGTATTGTTTTAAAGCAGTGTACAATGCTAAAACACACTTTGGCAAAAGAGGAAAAAAAAGATTGTACAGTGCATTATATCCCCAACTCTAAGAAACGATATCATATGATTTGATTGTCCACATGTACAGGTGGATATCTCACAATATGGTTTTATGTTTATTTACTTTCAATTAGTGCAGAAACAACCTTCCAGGTCCTACTGATTATTCTGGAATTTATATTGCTTTTCCGCTACTGAGGTTCCAGGCACTCTTGGGGGCTGAAAGGACTTTTAGATGGATCAGGTTCAGCAAGAAATGGTGAAAAAAAAAAAAAAAAAGAATTAAAAAAAAGTCAAAACATAAAAAAACCCCATGAGTTATCTTCATTCTTTTACTCCTTCTGCATGTTCTGTGCTAAGGCCCTGTGAGTCTAATGGTAAAAAAAAATATGGCCTGGATATAGAAGAATGCAAATTTTATTTAAAAGTTGAATGATTAGCCAATTATAAGTTTCAGGTTTAAAACAGGTTTTATTACAGATCTCTGTTAATTTAAAAGTACCTGCATTCATATCTGCACATTTGCTACAAAAAAATCCAAGGGGAAAATAATGGCTGCTGCTGTCAACTTTTATTAAGAAATTACCTTGTCATTTTAACAGAATTTTACAGCCTGGGAGTCTGCTAGCCTCCTGAGCTAGCTAGGCAACTATTTCCCATCTTCTACACTCAAAACTACAAATCTAATGAAGAGTAAAGTGGAGAAAATAAAATCTCTTCTTCCACGTCGCCAAACAGCTGAAAAATGACAAATATGAACTCCTACCTCCCTTTAGCTTTCCAAGTTATGGAAGCTTTCAGTACCAATCAAACTGAAAGGTAGGATTCCCTTAGCACAAACTGGATAAAGGATGAAAAGATCTAAGATTGAAATAGTGTGGAGAAAACTGCAACTCCAATGATGCACTGCTCATTTATATAACAATATAAAAAGACAAGACTGGTCTGGCTCTTCTTGCAACAAAGACATGAAAAAATAACACTAATCATTATTTTTATGTTGTACACCTCTCAGATTAGCAAATGGTTTAACTAGATAGCTACCCAGATTAAAAGTTACTGGGAGTCATAAACTGGAAATACTACACTAACGTTTTTTTTTTTACCAGAACAAATATTTCATACATTGTATTAGTCTGTTCTGATTTAGCAGTCTGTAGCTCCCAGACAAAAGCAGTCAGAAAAACCATGTTTCAGAGGAAAAAATTTTGTTAGAATACCAAAAGAGGTGCTTTTGTAGTGATGACAATTCATTACTCTTTTTACAGGCTCTGGTCCTGTAAATCCCAGTGTTAGAGGTCCCAGGTGGTATCACTGGGACCACTTCTTTCAATAAGACAGAGTTGGCAGGATCAGGCCACTAGGAGGGAAAAATCACTATATAAGTCCACTAACACATCTGGGAAAATTGTGATAAAAAAAAAAAATAAACAATAAAAACTATCATACTGACAAAGTTTTATGCAACACAAAAAAATATTCATGGAACTCACTAATATATAAAATAATATACCTTTACAGCTCAATATTACCATGACATTCTAAGGTGCCAAAAAAAAAATTAAAAAATTAAAAAAAAAAAGAAAGAAAAAAAAAGAAAAAAAAGAAAAAAAAAGAGAGAGAATTAAAGAAAAAAAACCCTAGAAGTATTATCCAGTGTAGTACAGATTTTGTACTGAAAACTTGTAAGTTACTCTTTGGAAAAAAATAACCAGTGGTGGATAAAAGTGGTTCTTTTTAAATATAATACCTTGGTTTATTTAATAAAAGTAAGCTCTAAAAAAGATCTCTCTCGCATATTATACAAAATGGAGAGGTTAGTGCAACCCACTGGGTCACATTTTTTTCAGTCATGTCTCAGAAGATTAGAAATTAGAAAATTATGCAATTTTCACAGCTTATCTTCATGTTGATAACAGAACCCATTTGTGTCCCAACATTTTTGTGAATTTGTTTTTCAGTCAGAACCTCAATGTTTTTTCTTTCTGTTTCCTCCAAAGATGAACATTATCCAGTATCTTACAATACAATACAATGAATTCAAAAACTATCAAAGCATAACAACATTCATTTGGCAGGTGGTACTCCTCTGAAAGCATTTGCTTTCTTTAGTGGAATCTGCCAAATAGAGACCTCTTTAAAATGTAATTTATGGATGCTCTCCCCCTGCTTTCTGACACCATGGAGGTGCAAATTCTGGTTACAATATTCCTGAGTGCCAAACTGAGTCATCAACTTCAGTTTTGATCAACAATCATCCTGGCAGACAACACCAAGTTCTGACCACGTTGTTGTAGTATGTGATATATACTTTGGAAATCATTACCTACATTTAAAAAAAAAACCAACCCCCCCTAAAAAGAAAGTGAAATTTTCCCAGCTCTACCCCCCACAAAAAACAAAACAAAACAAACAAAAAAAAACCCAACAAAACAAAACAAAACAAAACAAAATAAAACAGAGAAGAGGAAAAGAAAGAGAGAGCAAGAGAGAAAGAGACTGTGTTTTCATTGTTATGTGTCAGAAGAATGTTCTTCTACCACACAAGGCTCTGCTGCTTGGTTATCCTCCTCTTCCACTTCCCCTACTTGCTCATCTAGAGGAATTTCAGTGGATTCTGAATCCTGGGTACAAAGAGTCTTGGAGTCACTGAAGCTGGCGTCTTCTTCCACTTGACTTCCACTGTCTTTTTCGGTGTCTGACTCCCCATCTTCCTCCAGTGTTAGCTCAAACTGGAATTTTTCAGTTTGACCCTGCTTTCCCGCTTCCTTTTCTTCAGGTGCAGGAGAGGGACTTCGAGGGATTGTGCTCTGGTACCATTCTCGATTGTCCTCCAGTGTATCTAAGATATCCTGGGCATCTGGATGAACGAGATCTGCCCATGTCTCCCACAGAGGATGAACAATGTAATCTATAAAACCCACCTGTTTCAAATAATACAAGAATATGATTATTCACAGAGAAATGAGTAAGTCATGCGAAGTACGAGGAATTTAACACTAGGAAAGGACACAGGATACATTACCCTTAAAGGTGGCTGAAAGGAAACCATACTAGTTTGCATAATAGATAAGGTCTCTTACTTTTCAAAAGTCTGATTCAGGATATTGGATAAGAGCATGGAAAGGGATTTGTTTTCAAGTGAACAGCTCATTCCAAACAATTCCACTGCATCTAGTGAGCCACATGCCTGCTTGATGTTTAATTCTGTTTTTGAAGGAAACCCCAATGTACAATAATCTCTTTTGGCATGTATGCTGCTTTTCAGGTCAGGATAGTAATGGAATCCCTTCAGCAAACATACTGCCATGCACTATGTTTTCATAGTAAAAGTCTCAGTTTGGCTCACTTACTACTGAGGAGCTGAATTAATCAACTCAAGGGGAAGAAAAGGAAAAAGTTAATTCAGAAATCATTCCAAACAAAACTATGTACCATCCTTTTCTTCTAAAAGATTTAACTGCCTTATCAAATCAGTTACCTGTGACTTTTCTACAGATGCATTGTGCTTATCACACATGGGGCTTATCTCCATTCCCCTCTCTCTTTCCCGGTCTCCCTGACGGAAAAATTCCTCCATTATTCTGTCTGTCCATTGGCGGTAGAGATGCAGTGGCTTGGTAGGGTTGCTCAGATCTGCACAGTGCACCATGTTCTGAAGAACCTAGAACAGATTGAACACTTGTGGTGTTATTACATTGAAGAAAAGCAGCTCTTTTTTTTTCTTTACATTTCTGGTGACTGTGAAACGAAAGCTTGAAAATACATGTAATGTAAGATTTATTCCAAACAGCCAAAACTTAAGTGCTTGTGTGCTTCTCAGACTTGCAGTAAGAGCCAGGAACTATGTGGCTTCTGCTACTCTAACGGTCACAAAATCCTTGTGAGAAAAGGAATCACATTTTGGTAATTTGAAGGGAAGGCCGAAGCCTCATTTAGCCCTGAACTACCCTAGCACTTTGTTAGTCTCCCAGAGAGTCACTCAGACCATGTCACTTAGACCTGGGAGGAAACAGAGGGAAGCAGCGAATCGTGGTGCGAAAGAGACAGCTCAAATCCATGCTGGAGAATGGGGATGACAATGTTCATATGGAATACAAGTGATCATCTTCAGAAATCATTTCCTTACCTGAATCCTGTCTGAATAGTTATCAAGAAGCAGGACACCAGAACTGGTCACTTTTTTAGTTTCAACCATAGTTTTTAAATCAGCCAGTAGATTCATATGCTTAGACATATCTGTTGCAAGTACCTAGAAAAAAAACAAACAAAAAATGAACACTATGCAAATGGTACTACTGGAGTTTCTTTGAAAAATAATTAAACGTATAAATCAAAAGTTTTGGAAGGAATCCATAGCTTCTGTGTCTGAATCCATGATACAGGTATGAGTCCTGTAGGTTCATAACAGTACATTCTCATAGCAGTTATTTTAAGAATATGAAAAAATCATTGCTCAGCATTGTTCAGAATGGACTGATTAGCTCAAATTCATTATTAATTCAGTAGCAAATTTCTAACTGTGATGGTAGAATGGCATACATGTCAGTACAAAACCAGCTTGAGAAAGAATTGTATACTTTCTAGAAATGTTATTGGAAGTTATTGAATCTTAAAAGAATCCACTATGCATGTTTGGGTAAGTCATGACAAAACTTCAAACTTCCACTTCATTGTTTACGGGCTGGATAACGTGTAAATGTTATCATAAAATGCTTCTGTGCTTTATTATTCAATGTACTAGCTCTATGGAAGAAGAAGTCTCAAAACTCACAATGTCAATGACCATTTTCCTCAATGATTGTCTCTGTTTTTTGGTCAAATTTTGGAAAATGTCACAATTTTCTTCCTGTAGCAGCTTGAAACCCACAGCTAAGTGATGATTCTCCAGTACTGATGAGTCATTGTACATCAAGGCGAGTTCAGAATCTGCAATAACAATTGCAGGGCAGAATGTTACTTAAGCCTAGGCTTCTAACACATCCCTTAAGGTCTTTTTCAAATTCATTACATGCATAACAAGATTTACAGATAAACTTTTAATAACAGCCCTGAAAGTTACAGAATTATTGACTGAATATCTTACTAGGTCAAGGCAAAGTATGTTGAGCAAAACAAAGAAAAGGCTTTGCAATGATGCATGTACACATGTGGCAAGTTTGAAAAAATACAACAAAGGTGATTTTCAGAATAAATTTTTTATATCTGCATGAGGTAACTTAGAAAATATTATATGCATAATATATGCATAAACACACCTCAACTAAATCACCCTCCGATGCGGTGTCTTTTTCATGCTTCTCTCCATCCTAAATTTCGAAAATACCTAAAATTCTATTGTTTCAATATTCCCAGCTTTTCAGCACTTTGACCTGGGAATACTCTGCTGAGGCTTTTCTGCAGGTCTCCTGCAGAGCACACGCTTCTTGGTTTTCAAATCATGTCCTTCTGCAGTTATCTAAGACGCTCAGATGCCTAGTGAACTAGGCGTACAGTCATTAGTCCATGACAACTGAGGGCTGGTAGGATGGGAACAGCCACCCTTCTGTCTTTCTCATGTAATGTCACATGGTGTGAAACTGCAGGCAGTGGCCTTGCCTGCTGCCTTGTGTTTGAGCCTGGTCAGTCTCTGATGCTGCCTGCAATGCTGTCTTGACCAATGGAATTATCCTTACCTCAGTCACCCCATGTGGCCGTGAGAGAAACACAGGCTTTCCCAGCCATGCCTGTGCTAAGGCTCACCTGTAAGGTCAGCTTAGACCTGCTGAACAGACAGCTCTGAAAAATCGAAGCAGGTATGAAACTTTCTGCACAGCTTTAGCTTTAACCCAGGAACACTGCACAGTCAGCTTGCATATGCTTTAAGATATAACTTGTAAATAAATCTATCACAAAGAAAACTCAAATAATTTTAAGCAATCATACTTTTCATGTGCTACATTAACTTCTGTTTATTACAGCTGTTCTAGCCTAAGTCTAGACACACATCAGTCTATTCCACTCTTTGTCCTCTTTTCTTCTTTTGCAGCAGAAATGTTTTAAAATGTCTCTGGTTCAATGGGAGACCTCTAAAAGCTTTGATCCTCAGGTTTCATTAATCTCATTATCTATTCTCCTTCTGTCTTCCTCTCCTGTCTTGAATAAATCAATCTGTTGAATCAGGAAAGCATTCCTCTGCCTTTCCTTCTCCCAAAGGCAGCAAAACCTTTGGTAACAACAGAAGTAGAAAGAATGCAAGTTTGTAAAATGATCTCTCTATTGTCTTTCTCAGGACACATACAAAGCTTGCATACTTGTCTTTCCTATGCAGAAAACAGGCACTAGTTTATTTTCCTTTCTAACAGCCTTCTGATTCACTGCAACTGCAAAACACTCCACATTGCCAAAATACTTCGGAAGAGCTGGAGCTAGACACAGCTAAAATTCACTCAACTTCAAAATTGATGTAAAAATGGAAGAAAGCTCCCCCTTGGTAATCTGGGTTACATATTATAAGATTCAAGAATATTTTTCTGCAAGGACGGAGTTACAGTGGTAAAATAAGCATCTCCTCTGATGCCAAAACACTTTATATTTGTTTGTTCTTTAATAGCATGCAAGAGTTTAGGTAACAACTCTGTAATAGACTTTAAATAGGAATAGAATAGAAAAATCCCAAGACTTATTGTAAAAAATAAGATGAAAATATGGCAAGTATGTACATACTTTAAGTAACTAAGTCAATAATGGTTTTTTTAAAAATGCATTCTTATATTTGGTGAAATGTAAATTTCTTATATTTAGTGAAATATGTATTTAGTGAAATCTTAATACATTGTTTGGTTCACTGGAAAAACAAAATTAGATGGAAGTGAATCTTCTAGAGATTAGGAAAATTTCTGATTTGAGAAACACACATTAAATTCTCCTTTTCTGTCTCTGTTCCTGCAGTTTATTCCTTGTACACAGAACAATTTAAAAGAAACAAAATCTTTTTCCTTCTTTCAGCCTTGCAACAGCAGTTTCAATTAGTGTTGTTACTTGACTGGCACATAAGCCTCCTTTATCAAAAGCTGAATGGAGAAAAACATGATATATTTTCTGAGCTGGTAATTATGAGCATGAGTATGACTCCTGTATTAGCTGAATTTCAATCTATCTAACTAGAAGTAAAAGCTTTATGCACCACTACTTGTCCCTTCAACTAAGCCAACCCTCTTAAACCTGAACAATACATTGATTTGCTCATAAAACCTTGGAGCCATCAATATAAACTGGTACTCAATTTCTGACTTAACAAGTAAAAAAAAGGCTTTACTTACATATGCCCACTCTTAAGAATTCAGGTATTATCAACATTTTTTTGCACAAAGTTTGATTCACTCTCTGCCTTTATTGCACTGCTGAATTGTACTGGTCCCCAGTAAGGGACAAAAAAATCCAGTCAATATTAATCCTCTTCCATGTGGATGAGTCATCAAATTCAATTTTATTATAGGGTGGCCCTTAGGCCATTGAGACAAACAAAACAAAGTGCAGGCTAAACTGAAGTGCATGTCTTATTTGAATATTATTTGAATTTGAACAGCAGCAATGAGTCAGAGGAGGAGCTTCCTTTTTCAAATTCTACTGCTGATTTGAGGTCATTCTATTTTAACATTGTGAAATAGATTCACCCATATGCAGAAGTGACAGTATCTATAAATGTGCAACCAGATGGGTCAAATACACAGCACTGGGTATGCTTCCATTTCTGTTGCTTTTTCTTCTTCTCTGCTTGGAATATTAGTATTATTTAAACCCTGTACTTCTGGGTCACTTACCATAAAAGGAGAAGTTGTCAGAGTGCAGAAGAAATAACATAGTATGATGGAACTTGTACTGACCTACAAAGTGCTATCCACTGATAATAGCGCCATAAGTCAACAAAACCCAAGCAGGTTGCCACTGGGACAACAAACCATTGAGTAAATATGTCATGATCAGGTTTAATAAAGTTAACAGTGTTTTTCTTTCAGTAGATGAATAAGGAGTGGATAGACGTTCAGCAATTTTGCAGACAACAGCCTTGAGGAATGCAGAAGTACACTGGGTTTCAAATTTGGAGATGACATTGAGGTCAGAAAAAAAATGAACAGGTTTATCATAGCTTCAGAAACATGGAGAGGAAATTCAGTCTACAAGGCATGAGAAATCAAAAGCCAAGTACAGGATCTGGGAAGAGATTGTCCTGACTGTGTTTGCTAAAAAGAAACTTGCTTTTCTGCTTTCTGAATATCTATCCTTGGTCATTTCATACGTTTCCAGTATAAACACATAAACTCTTGTCTTGTTGTTTGTTTAGTTTTTTTGAATCTTCCTTCATTCTCTTCCTAAAACTTTATCTATTTAATGTAAAGCAACTGTATTTCCAGGAGAGACAACATGCAATACATTGAAACAATGCCAGGTTTATAGTTCATACCTTAGTAATTCCTGCTAGAGTGTACAATGTAAGTTATTTCTAAGGTTACAAAAACTGCAAAGTAATATCAGGTTTTAAATATAAACATGTATGTATTTATTGAGAAAAAAATTAGAACTAGAAGCAAGCAAGGAATGAACTGTATATTTTTCAGTTGCTATGTGCAAACCTCACAACAAATTTTTGAGAAAACCACTAAACATCAAACTTACTTGTGTTGATAAGAAACTGGTTTGAAACCCCAGGATGATCTACATCATGTATAGCACTGGCAAAAATTGCTGCAAGAATCTCCAAATCAGTGAATACCGCCTAGAATATAATGAAACAGAAATGAATCACCAACCAGTGAAAAAGTGTTTTCAATAAAAAGGACTCTACTTTGAATCTGGATGTGAGCAAACAAAACACATTTGAAATATACCATGATCTCTAGTGACTTTACACACAAGCTATCAAACCCTTTGTGAAATCATTATGTAGAATTTCATAAATATTTCAAGTTTGGCCAAAATAAACTGATTCGTACTTCATACAGAGAGCATCACTAAATTCTGTCACTGCTGAAGTATTTTCAGCTTCAGTCTGTAAATAAATCCACCTTTATTAGACAATTAAGTACAGATTTCTAACTTATAGCACAAGATAAATTTAAATATTTCACCTTGACTCCTGTGTATTGTCCTGTACTCAAAAGATGCAAATCTCCTACATAATGCTAAAGGAAATAGTGACAGACTACACAAATCTCACTTAGCATTTACTGATTTTCCACTTGGATGAGATTATTTGGAAGACAGGAAAAGAGGACTGCAATGGACTTGCAATGTCACTGAGCCCAGTGCCCTGTTTTCAGAAGCACCCACAAGATGCAAATGCTTTCAAAACTGATCAAGAATGGCTCAGAAGTGCACAGACCAGCAGTGGCACTGGGCAGATATTGCCATTTCACTGGCTAAAGCTCTGCTGATAAGAAGGCCATGGAAAAAAAAACAAACCTGATCTATAAAAAAACCCCAAAATTTTACTGATGACTAGTTTAGCTGTGTGGTGTAGCCAGCGGTGTTTTAAGAACATTATCTGATCTTTCTTCTTGAGAGCAAGAAAATTTTTCTCAAGAGATTTCCAACTCTTTGAGAATACAAACTTTCCAGCAGTCTCAAAATCCACTATTTTTAAGAAGGTAGAACAGGTATATTCAGTAACATGAAATACTGACCATTAAAGGAAAGAGTCAAAATGCAGCCCTTTTTGAAAATGAGGGTAAATCCTTTTGAACTAATACAATTTCTACTGCTTTTTTTCTAACCATTTGCTGGGATATATCATTGTTTGCTATGTTAAGACCTGAACTGTGCTTAAAAGAGGGAAAATCTCCAAATTTCACATCCTTTTACTTCAGATATTTAAGAACTTTCAAGAAGGTAATTGCTTCAGAAAGAACAGATTACTTTTTTCCCAATTTTGAAATATTTATGGGGTGAGAGGGAGGTCGGGGGAGGGGGGGAGTAAAAAAAAGACATAGTCCAGTGAAAATTTAGTAGATGTTCCAATCTGTCTTAGAAATAAATACAAAAGTAGCCTTTCCGGATCAGAATAAACTTTCCTAAGAAATCCCATTTACTGTGTTTAGGTAGAGTACCACATTGGAAATTACTACAGAACAGCATGTATAAATAATAAGATGGTGGAAACAAGATATGCATTGTGTTATGGTGAAAAGGGTTATGACAGCAAAAACCTGCATGATATACAATGAAAAGATGTGATATTTTCTGCACGATATTTACATGTAACTTTGATCCCCACAAAATATCTTTAAAAGAACAGAATTCATTAAAGAAATGTTAAGATTTATTTTAAAAAACAATAAACTAAGATCAGAAACTAAGATCTTTAATATTTAGTTCAGAAGACTCTCAGTGCATCCTCTTCTCTCACAACTGCCCCTTCTTTTCTTCAATGTAGTTTACCTCTAATGCTGGGGTTGACAGTAGGACATGGGTAGATTGAACAACATCTGCAGCATGTATGTTGTTGTGGTATGCCACATCTGCATGGTAATGGTCTTCCAGGGTCATCAAGTAAGTTATTAAAGTATCTACTGGAATCTTAAAAGTTTTTAACAAGTCCCGCTCCTATAAAAGTAAAGGAAAACCAATTAGATTTCGAAGCACAGAACAGTCTCCAAGATAAGAAAAAAAGCAGCATGACTGCTCCTACTTGCCTGAAAAATAGTGTGCATGATGACAGTCAGAGGTCTGTTTCCAGATAACTCTGCCACTCTGAAGACCTGAAGGCCCCACTTGTTCAAATCTTCAAGTTCCTAGAAGACAATCAAGCAACGAGCAGATTGAAACCTAATACAAAAAATCCTGTAATTTTTGAGGGAAGCAATTATAGAGGACTCATTCAAACCTGGGCACTGTGCAAGTTACATGCTCAACTTTGCAAGGGCTGAACTCTAAAATCCACACCTGCTACTAATCTTGCAATATTGGAATTTACATCTACCCATTCTTCAGATTTTACTTGTCTAAGCAGGAAATACTGTCTCTTAAGTGGATTGCTCCACAGGGAAAAATTCTGCAGTATCTCGAATGAGTTTAACTGAAACACTTTGCTATCTCACTGTCTGTTGTCAACGAAGTTCAGGGAGGAGAAAACCTCCAGAGATGCTGTGATTCTGCTGCTCTCTCCCTGGTTCTCAGAAACACTCTTCAAATAAGGTTCCTGAAAATGTTAGGATAGGCATATTTTAAAATGCAAAACTCAGCCAAAAGTCCCTTCATACAAATTTTTTGTTATTACCAAGTAGTTAGCTGCTGGTGCAGAAAATAATACAAAATTTCATTAAAAAATAAGAGAAAGGATGTACATAAAATGATACAGCTAAAAATAGGATGGGTTGCTCTAATACAATGTACCTTTGTGCATTTTAAAAAAATAAGGTAGCTATCTATACATTTTAATTCCTGTGACATTATGTAATACTTTTACTCCTCAATTTTCAGATACTGTTTATGAATAGGCAGCTTTCTCAATGAATACACAAACGCTAATTTACATTCTGTCTCTAGATGAAATTGTCTTCTTGCTGAAATTAACCCTTATGATATGATTCGGATTTAACTTGCTATTCTTCCACTCCAACGAATTTGGATTATTTCAAGTGATAACAATGCTTGCTGCTGCAGCTTGAAATCAATATGTATAAGCAGAGGATGGAATAATTCTGAAAAGTCCACACTCTGTTTATATAAATTCAAAGATATATATATATATTTTTTCTACCTTGGCAAGGACGTCTTCTTGGTCTGTTTTAACTCCAAACCTGGGAATACTGGAATTAGTTAGGCTGGAGCTGTGCATGAGTTTTTTGACTCCACTGATCTGGGACATTGGCCTCTTCTTTTTCTCTTTCTCTTTCTGTGTTGGAGACGGGATTTCAACTTCATGTTGCTTGTCTTCAAAAAAATGAATAAAAAGAAAATAATTAATAAAATAATTATAAATATTATAAAATTCACTGTTGAGTTGTACCTTGTGGACTTTTAAATTGGTAGAAAAACTTGTTTTAAGATTTTGCAACAGATTCTTTCTATCAAGATCACTAAACCCATGAAGAGTTAAATATAGACTTATACTTCAGTACAAGAAGATCTCTTTTACTCAAATTGCCTCATTATTTCTGAATTGGCTTTAAAAGCAACTTGTGACTGTCTGATTACCACTTCTGCCATATCCCTAGTGCTGTAGAAAGGGTCAATCATCTCAGTATAAAAACGTTATTACAACCGCACAGGAATACATTTTGCAAGAAAAAATAACTCTGTCTCTTTTATTCAGGACAAACGTTCTCTGAAACTGTATTTCAAAAACTGTCCATGTCCATCCTCATGTAAACCTTCAGAAAACTTTTTCAGGACTCAGAAGGATTTATTACTTGTGGACTGGTCCTGTCTGCTAAGACTGTACAACTTGGAAAGCCTTTTGCCAGCCACATCTGCAAGTACTTTGGGCTGCTGGCAGTTCATGCCACCAATGCTATGTTTCTGCACCTCCCGAATAGAGTCAATGACAAAGACAAAACCAGGGCTTTGTTAACCTCTAAGTTTTGCTGTGGGCTTTTGCCTCCATAGCAGCATCGCCAGCATCACTTGACAAAATTTACCTAGGTATGTGCCAGCAAAACTTCAGATAATAATTAAACTGAGAGTAAAGTACGTTTAGGCAACTGCCAAATGATTGCTGCAAAACCAGTGTGGGGATTGTGCAGCATTGCAAGCATCTGCCTCAAAGAAATCCATGTTAGTGCAGTGAAGGGCTTTTCTGACAAAACCACTAGGAACATGAATTATTTTTTGTTCCTTTTATTCATACTGTATTTCAATCTGGAGTTGAATAACTCCCTTCAAATTATCTCTTTTTCTTTTCTGCTGAAATTTACCTCTACCTTTTCTATATTCCTCAAGGAATATACCAGTTAAACCAAAAAAATCCAGAAAAGATATGTGTTTCTGATATAGGAGAGGATCCAAAACAGCTAAAAAACACCTAAACCAAAATAAAACTTGTAAAGAAAGTAAGCAAAATTGGGATTAAAATTTAAAAAAACAAACAACATGTGTGTTTTTTCCTTTCTGCAATACTCATTTCCAATACAGACTTTGAAACCAGATGAGGTTGACAAGTCCATTTCTAATTACCAGCTTGTTATATGTTTACCTCTTCACATCCTTTTCTCTTTATTTTATTTTATTTTATTTTTTTATTTTTTTTTTTTAATTATCCTTTGGCAGATACATTTAATGGACACCTCAAATTCCGAACAAATCACAAGGAAGAAGAGACTTTGGAAAAGTCACCAGGTAGCAGCCTGCAGCACTGAGTTCCCGGACTTCCCCATCATACTTCACCACCCCCCTTGTACGGAGAAAAGGGGAGGCAGAGCATGGCTGCCCTTGTCTGGTGCAAGCTGACAGCAGATGAGGAGCTGTTACTTGTGCTTGTGCTTTGATGTTTATGGTTTCAGTCATATGCACAAAGTTTAGACCCATCAAACAGAGATTCTTAAGCTGAGCTGTCAGACTAACTCAAGTGAAACGAAGTGTCTGTCTGAATGACTTTAGATCTCCAGAGAAACTCTGTGGGTCTGCCTCTGCTTTTGTAACTTAGAGCACGCAGGGCTGTGCCCATCTGAACATCCAGAAAAGACAGCTTGCCATTTTGACCCTGTCTAAGCTATGCTCATTGACAGGTTCTCAAACATTTTCCATTCATAGAAAACAGTTAATGACGCTGAAAAATAAAAACATTGCATATTATTATACGCAGTCTAGGACCCTTATGTCTTATACACAGATTATATTTCTTGTCATTATAAACAACTCCAAACATTCATATACCCCTAAAGGAAAACACTTTGGTTTTAGTTTTGGTGTTTGTGTGTTTGTGTGTTTGTCTTCCCAACTTACAAGTGTGAGACAGTTTGTAGATGTTGAGAAAATAAGTTATGTATTAAAAAAAAATAAAATAATAAACTCATTAAATATTTTCAGGGAGAGTAAGTTCTCTATTTACAGAGATGTTCAGAACCAATGGACTTAGACTGCATATTTTGAAAATATTTAAGCAATACATCTGTAAGTGAGGTGTTTCCACTGTTGTGCTGCACTTACACTACAATTTTAAATATCTAGTTTTTCATGCAGACAGAAAAAGTACCTATGGTCCAGTAAATTAGAAGTGTTTGCCTTTCCACCCTCTTTCTTCTCAAGACTGAGATCTCATGCAAAAGGCTGACGGATGCATTTCTTTACCCTGTCAAAGTAAGTCTTAAGCTTTCAAGTGAAAGCAAGCAGAAGCTGGCATCTCAGTCTCCACAGCCTAAGTGGGTCATCCTTTCAGGCGACTGCACACTGTGGTTTTCAGGGCATCTGAAGCTGGGCAATATTGCTTGTCCATGACAGAGGCTTATCCCTCTCTCACTGTCTGAAACCCCGCTGCGCTACAGCAGTTGGCACACTACTGCAACCATGGGCCAGCTGAACAGACACGTTCAGACATCCATTTGGGACAGGGTGACAGGACAAAATGTACATTACAGAAACCCCACTTCTTCCAAAAAAGCCACAAAAAGCACCAGCTACAGTATCTCACACAGAATAAGACAGATCTTAACACGTATGACTGTATCACTTTTTAAAGTACTTGTTATCATAATTCAGATGTATTTGACTGTGCCTCTCTTATTACAACAGCTTTATGAACCAACAGTATCTTGCTCAAAACATGTTTTGAGATTGCCATATCATATCCAAATATCTTTATTTTCATGTTCAAAATCAACAATATGGAATGAAGTTTTCCTGATTTTCACAATTTTTAGGAAAAAAAAGAAAAGCCATGTTGAAGGAACCATATTCTTTGCAATATTGTGTTGGGCTTTTGTTAATGCTCACATCCCAGCATGCCAAGATCTTGACCTGCAAAAATCTTCCTGGAAAAAGCCAATTCAGATGTTTATTTAGTCACATGCACCTAACTGTGCATGTGCAGGCAGGGAATACCAAAATATCTTAACTGCGTGCTGTGAGATTTTATGAGGTTACTTGTGCTTATGTGCTTCTATCACACTGAAACCTCTGCAGTAATTCTGGTAGGAAATCTACCTAATGGTAGAATTCTCTTTAATATATAAATATATATAAATATTTATACATATATATAAATATATATATAAAGATATATAAAGATATAAATATATATGTGTGTGTGTATATATATGTGTGAGTATATATACACTCATATGTGTGTGTGTGTATATATATATATATAATTACCACTCTGAGGTTAGCCCAGTTGGTTAGTGCAGGGTTGTAGGTTTGAGCTCTGTATGGGTCATTTACTTAAGAGCTGGACTTGATGACCCTTGTGAGTCCCTTCCAACTCAGAATATTCTGTGAATCTCTGTGATTCTCTATAATGAATTATATAAATTTCTTAATATTGTAGCAATATAGTAGTTGTAATACGTACATGATTATTTATCTGTAATTACACACACAGAGAAATCACATACACAAATTAATTGAGCTGTGAGGAAATGGCTCTAACCTGATCTCTCTGCACACATGCTGACAACAATATGCCAAATGCAGTTTCTGAAAGTAGAAATTAATTTGGAAAGCCACTTGCTTTTAGCCTCTAACATAACCCAGAGAAATATAAAAACCCCCAAAAGGCAAAAAAAATTAACCCTTCATAGTCTTACCTAAGAAAGTGTTTGATATATATTCTGAGACCTGATTGCCTGACCGGCTCATTTCAGAGAGGTGGGTCAGCTCACGGTTGAGCATTCTTTTAAACTGGAAAAGAAAACAAAAAAAAAATGTATGGTTAGTTACATCAAGATGAATGTTAGTTAGGATAAGAAAATGCAATCACTTTATAGTTGGGGAAAGAACATGTCATTAAGAATATGTACTAAATACAACTGTGAAAGCAGATATCACATATACCAACGATCTACCAACTTATTCATGGATTGGACAATGTCATTCTTAACCTTCTAAATTACACCACAGCGATTCAATGACTAAGGTACAGCGTCCTATTAGTAACTGAAAACTCTAAGGCATTTGCACATACACAAGTTACAATACTGTCTTCCCAATTTTTCAATTTTAATTTGGAAAATAAATACAAATGTATTTATATAGAAGCTGCTCTCTACTAGTTTTCTCACAAGATTTGTAAATGAATCTATTTTTGCATTTTTTGCAATTCATTTGGTAACATTTCAAGTCTATCTTACTTCTCATCATTAATCTACTCAAAATTATTTGACAGCATTACTCCAAACAATCTAAATATGCTATTGATTTCATATTAGCCAATATGAAAAGAGGTAGGTTTCGTTGTCTCTGAGCTAAAACTATTATATTCAACCAGTCCAATGACTTGACCATTCCACTGTCTCAGGAAACTGCAAGCATCTCCAAGAAACATTGGGATAGAAAATACCCATCTGTAGAAACACCTTCTATTTCCCTTTTAGTTAGCAATTCACTCTAGTCACTCTAAAGGATAGAAGAAGATACTAATATTCCATGAAATGTATAATTAATTAGGTACACATCACTGAACCTTTCTTGATTCCTTCTAGACTCCAGGGTGAAATGATATCCTGTGTTATTATGCTTGACAGGTTAATTGCATAATACAGCTCTCACTGTCTTAGATGCATTTTCATTGACTATAGCTCTACCTTGATATTACCAACAAACAGAAGGCAGCAATACTTACTAACAATTCAAACAACTCGTGCCAATGAAAATAAGCATGCATCTGTCACTATTGAATTTTGCCTCCTGTTGTGCCATCCTTTCATTTTGTTGTTAGATTTCTCAGTCATCTTTTCTCTTAACAAAGCCAAATGATTGTGCCACTTTCAGAATCACATTTTACCTTCTTTATGCAGTCATGACTATCTGTTATATCAAGGAATAGCTTACCCTTAGAGTATACACATGTAACATTCCTCTATGTTGAAAACTGGTAATTGATAATTTATTCTTCTTCAAAGGAGGTAAACCACTGTAGTAAATATTAACCATCCCATTTTGATCCCACTGGAATCATCAAAGCTATTTCTTCAGAGTGGCCTTGCATAGTGAAAGGTGTTATTTTCTTCACAATATCTTTGTAAGCCACCAATTACCATATTGCTCACAATGTGCCTGATAAAATTACCTTTAATAAAACATTCTAACCATTAGCCACTGCATTTTCCTGCCATCTTTACATGTCATCCATCAGCAGAGGAAGTTCCACTGCTACAAAGACTGAATCCTATTTTAGTCACAAGCCAAAGGCTCGGCTTTTATCTCAGATACATCCATGTGCTAGGAAGTGCTCAACACATGTCTGAAAATTAGAACCATACTGCAAATGCAGCTATACCTACTATGAGAACTTCAGAGCTATGCATTCTAGACAAAACTAGTCTCAACTTCTTCAGCAATGTCTAATGTTTGTCACCTATGTCAAATGTTGAAAAACCAAGCCAAGTTTACCAAGCAGTGAAACGACTGGTCCAAAAATCCCAAGATCTTTTTTAAAAGTCTGTCTTTAAACTTTTAAATACTTCAAACACTTATGTCATGCTTACACACTTTTTCTTCTGTTCCCACAAGAGGTGAGAAACTAACATATAAGACAAAGACTGAAGAAGCCATGGAATAGCTTGTCTCCAGATGGCATCCAGAGGCTGCAGCTTCAAATCAAACACGGTGGATAGGAATCTTAATAAAATATCAGGAGTTGACAAAACCACTTTAACTTCCAGGCATCTCATCAGTTTATCCATTATTACTTCAATATTATCTCTTCCTTAATTTAATTAGCTAGTTCACTGGATCCTAACTTCAACAGATCCTCATCTGCCTGGTTGTTTCCTAGTAAACCCTTCTACCTAATGCCCAACTTGGTGATGCTGTTTTTGCTGCAGAAAAACACCAAATAGTGTCATGTTCCACACTTTGGAAAAAAAGACCATGTAGCCACCACTGGCTGGTACTCTCCAGGAAGTCTTAAAAGTTTCCCAGCTTTGAAAGAGGAACAAGTCAGTGTTTGCAGCTACCTGACACAGGAAATAGGCAGGATCCCACCCCCCCCAAATAATAAATTTAACTGCAGGGAGTGGGTAGAGAGCTTTGTTATTGAATGCTGGGAATCATCTTACAGAACTTAGGGAGTATATGTTGTCTAAGAAGTTTCTGCTCAGTGTTTGTTGCATGATTATCCACAACAAATGGAAGGCACATAACTGTCTTTTCTAATGCAATGTTCCCCACTAGTCTGATGCAAACCCTCTTCTTCCCACCTCCCAACACCCCCCCAAGTCAGTAGAACATGAAAACTCAACCATCTGCATGAGAGCTGCAGAACAGTCTATGTTAGTGCTGAACAAGGGTGTAAAGTAAAACAAGTCCCTCAACCTCTGCAAGGCCTTCCTGCTGCGAGCAAATTCAATTGGAATTGCCTTTGGCTTTGAAGCACTGTAGCTGCATGATTCCCTCATAACTCTTTCACATGTTGCCGATGCCACAGAACCAAAACTTTAATTGACATTTATTTTGAAAACTTATGGACTAAGCATGAGTTTAGAGGACTGTTTTGATTTTCTAATTATCTGACAAAGCCTTACAACCGCCATTGCCATTGAATCAGAGGAAGCTGAAGACCATATGCAGACAGCAGTTTCTGAAGTAGAACAATAACGCTCTTTGAGAAGAAAAAATTTAAAAAGTCAAACAAGAGACAAATAGCAATCAAGGTATTCAGGCATATTTTTTTGTTTATACTCTGTTTCACTGTATCTGTACATTGCTCATTCCCCTTATGTTTAATGACTTGCCTTTTGAGGAAAAAAACCCCTTTTTCTAAGAAAAACCAATCAAAACAGCAAACCCAAATTTAACCCCATTTTTTTCCCTATTTTACTTATTTCTCAAAGATTTAATTTGGGCCCAAGTGCACCCATACATAATTACTGTTTCAAAAATCCACATATTTACACAGCTCTGCACAATTACCTTACAAGGAAATTTTGACTCTCACATGGCTCCCAAAAGCTCTTATTGCCAACCAGGGAAGTTGATTACATCTATAAGCCAGCACTGTTTTACTTATCCAAGAAATACCCCTAAGTGCTTGAAACTTGGCTAGAATCCACAGTCTCATAATTTGGAGTCCTGGAAGTAACACTTTGCATGTTCCAAAAAAGTCAAACAGGACATAAAACCACCTTGTTCCTAAAGTAAATATTAAGAGTCATGTTTTGAGTACGAATTTTAAAAATCTGAATGCCACATACTTTCCAAATTCAAGAAAACAAATAATTAAGATCAAAACTCTTGTTATTAATAAATATTTAAACTGTACATTTTAATTATGATATTGTGAGCTCAGCATGGGGAGGAAGCAGAGGTTTTCAGCTGATCTATGGGTATATTGTGTTTTTTCTCAGAAAGAAATATTTTCACATATCCCACTAGGCATTGTTAGGTTGGAAAAATGACACATACATCCCTTTGGAATACCACAGTCCTTGACTATAGCCTTAGAAAATCCCCCTGGAAATGAACTGGCTATAAAATGTCCATTAAGCTAATTATACTGTTCTTCACTGCCAAATACTGATGCCAGAGCAATGGAGCCATAAACTCTTTTCTAAAGAAGAAGTCCTGAAAATATTTCCTTAAGCAGAATTTTTAAAGTTTCATTTGTTTATATTTATTTATATTTATTTTAGATTTTAATTTTGGAAGGGGTTAGGGGGATGGGGGGGGATTAGAAGGTTCAGAGCCCTCAACAAATACAAGGAGAGTATTCAAATAATATTAAAAATACCCCTGAAGTGAAAAAAACAGATGTGCACCTTTATCTCCTTTTATGAACCTAAGAAGTCTGTTGTAGCAAAAACTGTAATGCATGAGAATAAAGGTACATATATTAATGATAATGAACTGAGAACATTTTCCTAAACTGTGTTAACTGCCCAAGAAGGGGTTTGTAGTTTAGGGCTTTCTGGGCTGAAGCCCAATGTGTGCACATCTCTACATCTACATTACTGCTGTCAGCCTAGGATAAACATACATGGAGGGGTTTTTTTCTGAAAAATAAGACACTTTTCTGATGTCAGCAAAGATACACAGAAAACACAGACAAACTTTTGGAGTAACCATGTTCCCAGATGGCAACCAGACCCTTTCACACATTTTTGGGAAATTTTGAACATATATAAGAAGGAAACATCGACTCCCAAAATTCAAATAGAGTTGATTCATGGCCATGACCAAGTCTGGGCCACATGCTTTACGTATATATAGGGGTTATTGTTTACACTTTAGAAGATTTTACAAATTTTGTGTAAAGTTCTTGACTCCATAACAAAGAGCTTAAGTAAAGAAGCAGCCAGCAGCTAGTGGTGTTGAAAGGAAGCGCACAGAACCACTCTTGATGTAGACTCCCTTCAGCAGCTGGGTCTCCTCCATGCAGGCTTTTTGTTCCTGTCAAGAAACCTGCTGCATCCCAGGGTCTGTAAAGGGGCTGCCTCCACCACAGCCTTTGGCAATACTGAAGGTGAAGCTAGAGCCAGAAGGTAGTCTGTGGACCAAAAAGCCCAGTCCTGCCTGGCTTTCAGTTAGAGCATTAATCAAGTTCCAAGTCTAGTGGAGGCTGGAATAAAAATGTTCAAGAGTGACAGGGGACTCTCATAGCACTGGCTCCCAAACCCACATGGCAAAGATCCCAGTTCCAGCCTTTCTGGCTGCCTCTTTTCTAGATAACATTTCTAAAAGCTTACATGAATAGAATACATCCATGTAACATGCAATTAATACTTGGAACATTCAACTTACATACTTACATTTTTTTTCTGAAATATCTACCAATGCCATTTTTCAAATATGCTGGTATCTCAAAATTAATAAACTATATTATATTACTAGATTTAGAAAGCTTGTATTCTACAATAAAACAAAGAAGGAATTTTAAATAATTTACAAATTAACATAAGGGTTCTGTATGTACTGCTCATGGATGCAAAACTATCTTTGATTTTAGCAGCATTCTGGATACATAAACAGCAATCTTAACAGCTAAAGGTTTGGGTTGGAAGCCCATAGGTTTAATTAACATCAAGGCCAGACACTGTTTTTTATGATAACCTACAGAAAGGCAGATATCTCTAAAGCTGTCATTGTGATAGTGGTGCTCATTTTTTTCAAGAAAAGATACTCAATACAAACCAGGGGTAAACATTCCCATTTTCCAAAATATAATCCACAGGGGATAAAGTACAGCCTGGAGCACACAGAAATACGTGTATAATGAAGGACAGAAACATATACAATGTAATATCTGAGAATTAGATATTTCAATCCTCAGAATTACATAAATACTCTATATAATTGTTTTCAATGTCATAAAACACAGAACATCTTTGCTTCTTCTCACATTTTTTTTGTCTCAAAAAGCACTGTAATGAAACTGTGCTCAAGCATGACTTAGCATGACTTAAAGTCACCCCAGGACATTTCTTAACCAAGATCACTGTCTGTAGATCGTATAAAATACTCTCTATACAAAGGAAATTTTTCCCCCCTTTGTCCTCAATTACAGCTACCATGGTCTCTGCTAAACTTCAATTAGAAAAAAGAAAAGTCTATCAATTCTAAAGGCTAAACAGTAAGAGTAAACTTCTCTCTTTTTCAAATTGGTGATTGAATTTTTGTGATTTAGCAAGGAGGAACATGACAGCAGCTGCCTAGAAATGCAGGAAATACTTTCTAGCAAATTATGATAAATTACTTTTAGCTGAAAAGCAAAGTAATTTCATCTCATTGTTTTGGTAAACAAGATAGAAATCTGCCTAGCTAGTGTAATGGGATGAAATTTCTTCACAAATGACTGATCAAAATCCTTGATAATATAGTGTAAAAATTCAGCATTATCTGAGAATACCCACAATTGGATGTAATCAGGCTTTGCGTTTCTATTTTAAAATACATATATCTATTGTAAAAGTAGGCATTAATAAAAAAAAGGCATAAGAGATTCAATTGCACAAATATAATGCTTGTGTCATTTCTAGTGATTTAATTCAACATATGCATTATTTACTTCAGGACAAATCAGAGTTTCTTTAAAGCAGAATGATTTGGCACACTTATTGTATGTCAAGCACAGGATGATTTTTTTTTTTTACACACTTGATAACAATTATAAGAGTATAAAAGCAGCAGCATTTTTCTAATGCACAAACATAATTTTTAGAGATAAACCAAGGCTCAAATGTGGTTTTCTACTAAGTGTTTTCAGTTCTGTGTGTTGACAGGCATACTGATTTAACTCCTTGATGCAAAACTTTTCCCTAAAAGAGATAAAGATTATTTAATTTCATTTTCTAGCAGTATTGCCATTTCAATCTATTTCACACTGCCCATGTAACAATATAGATCAGTATTAGAAGATGGCAATTTCTAATGTTTTAATCAATAAGATGTCACACACACAGAGGCTACCAGAAATGCTCTTGAAACAGTGTTCATAATTTCACATTTCTTCAGCTAATAAAACCAGTATGAGTCATGCATCCACCCATTATCCTCAGCTTTTTTACTCATGCTCTCTTCTATTGTATAGTATCTCTGTTTCAAGGTATTTGGAGATTTTAACCTTTTAGTGGCTGGAAATGCAGTTTTGTAGCAACCTTTGTTTTAATCAATAAGCTGTCACACACACAGAGGCTACCAAAAGTGCTCTTGGAGCAGTGTTCATAATTTCACCTTTCTTCAGCTAATAAAACCAGTATGAGTCATGCATCCACCCATTATCCTCAGCTTTTTTACTCAAGCTGTCTTCTATTGTATAGTAGCTCTGTTTCAAGGTATTTGGAGTTTTTAACCTTTTAGTGGCTGGAAATGCAGTTTTGTAGCAACCTTTTTCTGAAAGAACACAAAACTGTTCTGAATTTCTTTGGCTTTAGACTTGGTCTAAACATGCACTGAAACAATATTATTTTAAAAGTCCCAGCACAGTCTCTAAGAACGACTATACTGTGCAGCTCATTCTTGCTGAACAAAGGCTTGTTGTCTGATTTTTTACTTCAAATTATTCATACTCATATCACCCACAAATCCTCACACTATCCAGTGATCATGCAATCATGCACCATAAATCAAAGTTCTTAAAAGGTAAAACAAAATCCTACCTTTATGTAGCCCCAAGAAACTGAGAGTAAATAGTTTGCCTCAGGCATTTTTTATTTTTTCTATACTACCAATCTAAGCTAATCAGTTCTTTGCTATCTGACACTGCAAAAGACTTCCAAGAATAAAGATTACTTCTTTCCTCTCCTAATTCTTTTTGCTGGTCTTCAGGTTCTCAGCAACTGTGTGCTCAGAAGGCATACTGAAATGAAATCCAACCGTGTGGTCTTCCGACTGAATAAATGCCATTTGTGAAACTCCAAGCATTCAGAGGCAACGTTGAAGACACATATTGTACGAGCTGAAGAAATTTCTGAAGAGCTAGGGATATGCATATTTCCTGAACACCAGGATTTAATGAATAATGTATGTCAAGATGCTCAGCTGCTCAAAGACTTGCTCTATCAACAGCTACCAAATAAGGACCTGAAGAGGAAGCCACAGACAGTGGCAGCGATCCCTCCCATAGAGCCATACTAGCAGCCAATAGTGTGTCACCCTAAAAGATATAAATCCGCAGAGCTGGTGTCATGATGTATGGTAATTTCCCATTGGCTGATGCTGGGGACTCTCCTGGGCATGGGATATTTCTTTTCTCTTTTTTTTAATTTTTTTTTTTTTATTTATTTTTTTATTTTTCCCCCCAACAGCAAATGCCCTTTACTAATGGCATCCCTGCCTGCACCATTCACATGCCATTCAAAAATAATTGGGCTAAGGTCTCGTCACTTCAGCAGCATTTACCAGTTTTCAATGGACACACCATCCAAGCAGTTAAAATTAGTATTGTGTGTATACACATCTCGATTGCCTAGTGAGTTTAATTTTTCATATGGAAGAAAAATATATTTTAAGGTTTTCTTTATGGGAAAAAAACCAACATAAATAGGTGTATCTTGTTTCATAAGCAGTTTATGATGTATTTTAACAATGAAAATATTTTGGATTTTATGCCATCTACATAAAAACCTGTTCTACCTCAGACTATTGGGCCAGGCTGCTACTTTCTAATGCTTTTTTATTTAAAGAGATAAAAGCAGTTACTATTACGCTAAAGCAAGGCATGTGTCTTACAATTCCCAGTAAATGTTAAGCTTCCAAGGAGATGTAAGAAGTGAGATAAAAAGAGTCCTCAAATTCTCACTTTATTTATCCAACTTTTGCTCTTTCTGCCTCAGCAGATTATTATAATCAATTACAGCTATACATCATTGAAAAAAAGAAGGGATTAATTGAAAGTGGAGTGTGTCAGTGAGCTGACTCAAGCATTAAATAAAAGATCCCACCATCTGTCACTCAGAGACCAAAACTTGAAAGGAGGAATACATTATGCCCACGGCAGGGGGGTTGGAACTAGATGATGTTTAAAGTCCCTTCCAGCTCAAGCCATTCTCTGGTTATCTTTCTCCACCCTGTGCAAGGCACATGCACTACTGCAGCAAATTTCTAAGTCTCTGTTGCGTCAAAATAAAAAAGTTACCTTATATGACAATGGGCAATGCCTAAGGACAAACTGAATGAGGTGCAGTGTTCAGTCTAATCCCAGACTGCTGATTCACTGGAAGATGCTGACCAAGAATGGCCATAAGAGAGGTTTTGGCTGAAGTAGTTAGCAACATTAAGTGCTTCAAAAAGAATTGAACCTGTAAAAATCAATAGGGCAAAATATGGTATCAACAAATCCCTTACAGGAGAGAAATCTACAGCAATGTGACAACTGGATACAACCAACACATCATCAGTACTTAAAGTATTTTCATGTGGAAGACATACTGTTTGCCCTAAAATACATAGTATAAGACATTTCTGACACATTTTAATATTCACAGTTATACTTGGTCTGGATCTATGAAGCTAGATGTGTATAAAACAATTAAGTGTTGAAAACAGACCTGAGGTTACTAGACACTCAGTAATACCTTAAAGAAGTCTTAAAAAAGGTACTCATAGAAATTATTTCTCCTGATTCTTCCTGCTCAGCTTTGTAATGCTGAATATAAAGCTTCTCTACATCTGTGTTTCTTTGTCTTCTGATCACCCACAAGAGAGCACTGCTGCCACCTACCCAGCATCAACACAGAGTTGGAAATATGATGCCATTCTTCAGAAGGCAATTTCAAGCATGACTTAGAAAATGGTAAAATAACTTTTGGCTACTTCAGGAATGAAGCATGTGGGTATCAAATTTTAGTTGCAATGGCTAACACGAGAAGACACAAGAAAGTCAGATTTTAAATATTTTCTCTTATTTTATTACCAAAGGCTGTTTCTTCATGAAATGTTAACAACTCTTTCCAAAGAACTGTTCCCAAAAGAACTTGATTCAGATACAGAATACTTAAAATGGATGGTATGTAAATTACACCAGCTGTTTGGTATGTATTAAAAAATCATTAAATTTTTTCCTCCCCACTAATATATGAGACAAAGATACATCATAAGAATTACTGGGTTACAGTTGGTTTAATTTATTGATTAATGGTGTTTATCAAGTTATTAGCTAGGTCATTTTGATATAAAAACAAGAAAAGACATTACCATCCATAGTAAATATACATTACATCAATTCACTGTAGCTGCATATTAGCTATACTGATAATAGGAAATTGCACCTGATACAGTAATACTGCTTATTACTGACTTGTATTATTTTTTCAAGACTCATAGTCTCAGCCTCATAAAATTAATGATTGTAAATGTATCTCTTATTAAATGTATTAATAAATGTATTCATGGATGTATTAATAAATGTATGACTTCATTGATTTAGAAAGCATGGTCACTGATTTTGGCTACATGCAGTATCAACTTAGATGTATCCACATATAGATGAGGATAGTCAGGAAATTCACACCTGCTCAGATTTACAGGAATGATTTCGGCTGATTTTCCTCCTGAATTCCCAGGTTGCCATCAGTGCATAACTAGCTTCAGAAGAGGTTATGGTGGACAGATGTATGCATGGCAAATATCTGCCACTAACTAAATGCCTAGAGGAATTTAGTGTATCTTTTCCTACTTGCTATTATGCATATTGTGTAGGGAAAAAACCCTTGCAAAATATTATTCATGTGGCAGAGAATATCTTCTGTAATAAAAGAAAAACCTCAGTCTGTTTAATTTATTAGCCCACAGCTACTGTGGAGAATCATGACAATCAGAAACCACAGCACTCCAGACCTGATTCTCTAGCACCAAGGAAGCAGTGGAAGGAAGCTGGAACTTCTTCAGAGTAACTGAGCTGAAACCAACACACACTACAAACAAGGCATAGAGAAGGTCAGTGTTATCCTGGGAATGCAGGAAGAGCACTGACAGCAGGTCACAGGGGGTGATCCTGCCCCTCCACTCAGCCCCTCACCTGGAGTGCTGTGTTCAGTTCTGGGCTCCTCAGGACAAGAGAACCATGGGACTCCTGGAACAAGTCCAGAAGAGGGAAACAGACATGATCTGGGGACTGGAGCATCTCTTTACAATGAAAGGCTGAGGGAGCTGGGCATGTTCAGCTTCAAGAAGACAAGACTGAGAGAGGACCTCATCAACATAAACAATATCTGAAGAGAGAGTCTTAAGAGGATGGACCAGGCTCTTCTCAGTGGTGCCAAGCAATAAGACAAGAGACAATGGGCAGAAACTGATGCACAGAAAGTTCCCCCTGAACATGAAGAAGAACCTTACTATGTGGGTGACTGTGCACTGGAACAGACTGACAAGAGAGGCTGTGTAGTCTCCCTCACCAGACAGATTCAAGCACCATCTGGACTCAATCCCATGCAATGTGCTCCAGGATGGTCCTGCTTGAGCAAGAAGGTGGGACCCTCTGGGGTTACTTCCAACCTTATTCTCCGATTCTGTGACTCAGTTGCAATGCATTTATGAACTGTCACATCAGAGACTTACCACCTTGGTCTTTCCTGCTTCAGATAAGTGATGGGTAATACAAAAATGTACTTAGCTTTGAGGGAGGAACAGTGGTTTCAAATGCAACCCCTTGGACTGACTACGAAGTTGCACTAAGAACATTTTCAGAGATGTCTGAGCATCAATTCTGAATACAAGTGTTCTGGATGTAGCGCATACTGTCCAGTTAGCAGCAAAAAGTAAAGCAAAGAGGCAGAAATCTAAGCATATCACTGGTTTTGTTTTCAAGGTTTTATAAGAACAGATAGCCTAAAGAAATCCCATAAGCCAAATGAAGAGCCTGGGAAAACATGAAAAAATGTGTCCCATGGCAGGTGGTGAGAACTAGATAATCCTTAAGGTCCCTTCCAACCCAAACATTTCTATGTTTCTATGATTTTTAGACTGACCTTCACACACCAGAGAACAACAATAATCACCCATGTCAAATCCAGCTCCTTCTTGTGACAAATGTGGCACAGTTTTCACAGCACTAGCCAGCTCCACCTGTGAGTTGTGCTGGTATGCACACCACCAGAAAGTTTCACCACAAAATGGAGAGTCTACTCAGCACTGGAAGACCACAGCAGAAAAGAATGGTCATTTCATCCAGCAAGCAAGAGCATGTGGATGGACTCAGCCAAAACCCGGAGCCAGATAAGCAGAAGCAGCAGGACAGTCAAAGACAAGGAAACTATGCTTACTTTTTTCTTTAAAATATTTTTAAAATTTTTCTTAAGTTTCTTTGGTTGCTTAAATCAGCCAGCCTCACCAAGATTCTCTGGGTTCTACATAAGACTCCCTGCCTAGGAGAGAAAACGTAGGATTTAAATAAAAAAGTCTCAAACAAACTATTAGTAATTTTACAAATATGAGAAGTTGTTTCAACTGCAGCAACCAGCTGCCACACACTAAGTGAGCTGCAGGGACAGTGGACAAAGCTGGGTCTCATTTGGGGATATCAAAAAGAAATTAACTTCTGATGGCTGAAAACTGATGATGACTGTAAGTGGACCACATCTCCAGTTCTTTTAATGGAGTCTCAGTTTTAAGTGTGCTAACTGTAGCACAATTATACTGCTTCAAAAATGTTTTCTTGGAAGCCTTCTGCCTGTCAAAATTACATTTGTTAAAAATTATGTAAAATGATACAGCATAGGCTATTCCTTATCTTTTTTTTTTTTTGAATATATAATTCTTATACATAAAATACAAGAATTTTATGTTACACTGAGATGACGATGTTCTTCTGAAATATCTTAGGGGGAATATGTAGTAAAACCTAGGAGCTAAGGTTTAATAAAGACCTATGTTCCCTTATTTAAAATAAAAAAAAAAAAAAAAAAAGAAGAAGAAGAAAAAGATTAATATGTTTTGATAAAATACATTATTCGATGTTTGTATTTACTGCCCTCTAGTGATAATAAAAGCATTAGCTATGTCTGTGTAGGAACATCAAGCTTTTCTTCAGATCATAGATG